GTGACCATTTCAGTTATTCAATTGTTTAATTGTGTTACTGGAATTTACCGATGGTGGGATAATGTTACCATTTAATCTGTATATTTACGCCAGTTTTACCTCATTTTGTTTTGTTTATTAATAAAGGAAACCATCCAAAAACATTTAAAATGTAAAAAGTCTTGCCTATGACCACTTCCTCTATGATCCCGGCAGTGACGTCAGAAAGTAAACAGAGGAGCTGTCAGTGGATTCAGAAATTGAATTAAAAGATAATTTCGTCAAAAGGGGGCGATTTATGAACACTAAGGGACACCTGAATGACAACCCTGTGCAAAAATATAATTAAGGTAAATTATTTACGACGTGTTAACGTTTCTGAACGAACGACTTCTGCTCTTCCACCTGCAGTAGCCAACAGTAGCAGCTAATGTTAGCATGCAATTTCCCCTGCTTTTGGTTTACGTCATTATACATAGATATTACACATGTTGTTTTTAGATCATACGTCGATGTGTTTAGTTTAAATGTTGCACGTATTCAGACTCAGTTACCAGGTGAACATCAGGTAGTTATAATGAACTGTTAGTCACCAGCTGTTTGTCCACCTGCTGCAGCTCTGAGATCAGTTACAGCGAACAAAGCTCTTCTGTCCTGCTTTATTTAGAGCTCTAATCAATGTTATAGATACTGTATTTTCCATCCCGATTAGCTTACTTCAAATGACTTTTATTGTGTACCTGTAGCTCGTGAAACAGCTGCTCAAAGTGATATGTCTGTTTGCATTTGACCAATCCTCCTTCATGATTTTAATGCAGTGGTTTTTACGTTGATGATTCACAGGTTGACCAGGGACAGTGACGCTGCGCTGTGATGTTCACAGACATGGACTATGAGTTGGAGGAGGACAAACTGTGAGTAATAATAACGTGTTTCCTTTTTGCAATCTGAGCCATTCAATGTGTGTTATTCTTAAATCTTCAGTTCATATAAAGGCAAAAACAGTAGCTAATAGTGTGACTCCTGATATAGACTTAATACTCATTCTTCTCATTACTTATACACTTTTTAAGCTTTACAATAAAATGCTTGACTACTAAGAATTGTGCAAAAACATGAACACTCAAATGCTACAAAACTCAATGTGGTGCGAGTCGATATGGAGAAAATCTGATGTCTCGATATCCATATTTCAACGATATTGCAGGGTTGACTATTGGTTCTTTGGCATATTAACACAATGACATTTGGGGAAAGAAATCATCAGTAATGTGGATATAATGGCAGAGTTGGTAAAGGCAGATGCTTAAACAGATGGTACAGTCTGGTTCATTCAGAAAATGACATGTTTTACTGTAATGCAGCCAGTTAAAACCACGATAACACATAAGCAGTGTCCTAAATCCAGGAAGATATCTAGTTTCATATCACGTTATCTTTGTAGAATCAATATATTGCCCAGTTGTTTTTGAATGTATCATGTTGTCTCCTCAACAGGGGGATACCAACGGTACCTGGTACTGTGGTTCTGAAGAAAGACCCTAATAACCTGATTGGGATCAGCATTGGAGGAGGAGCTCAGTACTGTCCGTGTCTCTACATCGTCCAGGTAGGAACACAGCAAGTGATTATAACCCTGTTTATGAATCAGCACATTTCTATGAAGTTTAAAATGAAAAAAAAAAAATCTGTGTCATTGGTGTAGTAAACAAACACTCAACAACAATGCTGGAGACTTTGTAAACATCTGGAACCTCACCATACACATGTGTTTTGGAGCTGCGGTGAAATGCAAACTTTCTGGGACTGTGTACACTGTGTTCTCTGCAAGGTATTAGGCTATAGAATCCCTCGAACCTGTCTGGTATTATACTTGGGACATATGGGAGGATCTGTCGGTGTGATATCCGAATAATGGAGAAAATCACATACAAGTTGAAAGTAATGGAAGACACATTTCTTAAGGGCTGGGGAAATGGTTAAGGTACATATCAACAAAGGAGTCACAGTAGATCGTCTCCATACAGGCACTGTTCTCTTTGAAATGTAATATTTGTTTGTGTGTGAAGAAAACCATAAAAGAAAGTAAAATATAAATCTGTGTCATTGGTACCTTTTTTTTAAAATGAGGATTGTGTTGTCTCCCAGGTGTTTGATAACACCCCCGCAGCTCTGGATGGGACGGTGGCGGCAGGCGATGAGCTCACAGGCGTGAACGGGAAGCCAGTGAAGGGAAAGACCAAAGTGGAGGTGGCCAAGATGATCCAAGCTGTGCAGGTAACACTGACACAAAGATTTACAGTCCGAACAACACCAGGAGCAGAGGGTTCAGTATTGAACTTTTAGATCGTGATGTGGTTTCAAAGTCTAGTTTTGGACCACATTCTTCTCTGTTAGTGATTAGGGAAGTATTTGCTTTAACTAAGATACAAATTAAACCCAATAATCGAAAGCAGCTAACCGTGCTTTGTGGCTGTGAGTTGGCTTTTCCCACATCATGCACTCAGGGATCAATATTCTCTTATGTTTACATTCAGAAATCATTTGTTCATCCCACAGCTGGGACATTCTCACAAAGTTATAAAGTGTATATGAAAAGGATTATTCCTCAACCGTGGAATAACTTTTCAGAAAAAGCTTCCGATATGTTCCATTGGTTTCAAAGTGTAAACATCAACCTAACGTGACACCACCAGTGTCTTTAAATACATTTGAACATACAGAGTAACATGGAAAAGGATGAAAACATTACCCACAGTTTTGTGTCCTGTCTCGGCTGCAGGCTGATCGGTGAATAGTGGGACAGTTGACTTATTATGGGTGCAAACACTCTGTGGAGAAAAGCGCCTCCACTGCTGATAAAAGCAGGATAAAGTCAACGCTGCAGAGCGGCTGTGTTGTTTCTGCCCTCCATTGTTCGCACCCAGAAAAATGTCATGACCTCCTGCATGTTGGATTAAAGACAGGGTGCGCTGTGGGATTTCATGGATTACATTCTGCTGTCAGTGCAAATAAATGTGCACGTGAGTTTCACCGGTGGCATTTATTTACACATGTTTTTTTTATCTTTGATTTGATGTTTATTAGTTTATCACACATTTCTTATTGCAATTCTTGGAACAATGAAACTTTATTACTTTTTTTTATAATTTCACATATTTTTATTTATGCCTGTAACTGACTCTATTCTTGCTGCATTTGTTTTACATATATTGCTAACATTTGTTCTCATTTTAATTATGTATTGTTTAATCAAAATGTTGAAAACATATTTATTCATATTTATGTTTCCAAATGTATTTTCTTCGCCTTTTCAATATATTTTTTGCCATATAAAACATTTGCACATCATCCATTTTTACCACATCTAACAGAATACTTCCTTGTATTTTATGCGATGATTTTATATTTTTGTCAAATACAATGAATACAAAAGAGACTTTACTTTTTATAGAACTGGTTGACTTTAAGATATAAGAAGTTTATTTGTTGTTGTTTTTGATCTCCTGCTTATGTTTCCACAGGGGGAAGCAGTCATCCACTACAACAAACTGCAGGCAGACCCCAAACAGGGGAAGTCTCTGGATATAGGTACACACACACACACACACACACACACACACACACACACACACACACACACACACACACACACACACACACACACAGACCTACACAAAGACAGACACACACACACACACACACACACACACACACACACACACACACACACACACACACACACACACACACACACACACACACACACACACACACACACACACACACACACACACAAACACAGCGGCAAACACAAGCCCTTCAGTTAACCTGTAAACCCTGTATGTGTAAAATAATAAAACAGAA